AACAGGGATTGACAAAGTGGTTGTTGGAGACTTAGTATACTGCAAAGAAAACCACACTGCAACAGCTGCAGTTCAAATATCTGAAGAAAATGTTGACGAGGACTGTGGTGATGCTAATACATATGATTCTTGTCATTTAGAGGAAATATGCACGCTAGATCTTCCAACAGAAAGAAATAAGCTCGTGAAGGTTGGTTCCCAGTAACAACACTCGGAAATGCTCCTAGAGCCCTTTCACTGTTACTTATTACTGCTGGAGCCTGGTATTTGAGTTTCCGTTATTTTATATTGATGCTCTAGGATCTTTTGTGAAACAACTAAGTAAAAAAGATGTGCATCCTATAAATAAAAATTGAATTTGCAATATTGCACATGTTAATAAGGTTTGCCACTTATAGAAGAGGCTTACGCTTCCATGAGAATGCCTGCGTGCTTTACATCTGTTTTCATGTCACTAAAAGAACGTCAACTTTGCTTTTTCAGAACATAAAATTCCATGTGTAGTACTCTTCCATTAGCCCTTATTGTTTTTTTGTATAATCATGATCATAATCATAATGTTTAATAATACATAGTTTTACGTTTTTCTTTTATCAATACTTTTCTATTTAAAATGGGGCTTATCCTACTCATTCTCTAGAGATTGATGAGGTAGCCTTTAGGAAGTTAAAACATTGCCTATATCCTTAGGTTCAGTTTGTTCAGAGATATTTTATTGAAGTGTGAACATATTGATGGTTTTTTTTTTTTGAAAGTTAAATCAATTGAAGAAAATAGTCATAATTCTCGGCTTAAATTCCAAATAGATTATATTTGTCTTAAAGTTGAGTTATTTCTCCATTATTCTTAACCGCCTCTAGCGTTATGCTTCTTAGCATATATAGGCATGTTCTAATTATTCACTGTGATTTGTTTTAAGGCTAATAATATATGGTTTGATTCTATACTTCCATTCCAAAGATTTTGTACTTGTACATGGATGATGTTGGCAGTTGAAGCAATTTATAAAATTACTTGCATTCTCTGGAACTAGGATCTATAAGCCTTTCCCAGTTTCCATATTAAATTTCTCTCAGTGCAGAGAACAGTAAGTTGATGTCCATTGTATGTTTCTCTGGAATTAGGTTCAATGCGTTCTGGCCAACTTAAATTGCTAGAACTGACTTTTTTTATTTCCACATTCGTGATTGAAATTAATATTAGTCTTGACATCTGACAGGCTGTTACTGCAGAAGATGTCCAAAGTGGAAACTTCACTATTGATGATGTTGTACTTCCCCTGCCTGGGTGAGGGTACAAAATATTTATGGCCTGTTTAAAATCTATTCTGGTCTTATGATTGTTGTGTGACTTGGTTATGTGTTTTGTTGATTTGTTTATTTCAACAGGTCAAGAGTAATCTATCCCACAAATGATATTGCTGAAGTTTATCATGATTTAGCTGCTAAGGTCCTTTGTTAATCTTGACTTCTGTTTAGTGTATCTTTCTTTCAATCAGAATATCTTAGTTTTTTTAGCATATGCACTTCTCGTGGGGTTGATTACTTGACACAATACCAGATACGAAAAAAGTACGTTTCTTGGCTAACTTGTCTCAGAGAGTGATTTCTGTTTGGGCAATAGTCCCAAGTTCGCATCATCAACTAGGATTGAAATACTTTACCACAGATACTTGAAAGAAAAGAAATTGATAGACAACTAGAAGAAATCTTCCTTTATTGAGTTGAAAATGCTTAGAATTTAAGGTACAAGTACTCTTTGATACTTCCGAGAGGTTTGGTCTCTCCAATTACAACACACAAGACAACATAGTTCCCTGACTTCCTGTCCTAAATAAAACTTGGCCAAGATAAGTTCCCTTCACCAACTATCCAATTTTAAACAGAGATAGTGGAGTATGGACCTCGTTTTGTATCTTTTTTTTCCCTTCTAGTAGCGTTTTACTTGTTATTCAACCCCTTCTTTTTACTAATATTGATTTTTATTGTTTAGGATTCAATTAACTTGACGGAGACTATTCATAATGTAAAGTATGTTACAAACTCTAATGAGATCAAGCCATCTTCTCTCCTTCCTATTTTCATTCTATTGAAAGTTCTACTTGTATACTCTTTATATTGTGCTTTATGATATATGTTCATAGGGAATTTTCAATTACCAATATGACTGGAAGCTACCGTAGCGTTTTTCAAAGACCAAAGGACTATGAGTGGTACACATTCTTTATGTTGTTTAAAATATTAATTTCTAGCATTTATCTATTCTTTAGAAGATTAAATTCTGTTGTTGTTTCGCAGGGAATTGATCTCATATGTTGATCGTAATTTACCCCTGGCAGAGAGTGATTTAGATAACCTTTTGAAGTCTCAAAGTGTTGAAATTGCCAAGGAAGAAAAAATGCATGATAAATCTAAAGATGAAGATTCATTGGACTCCACAGAACAATCAGGGTCCTGTAAAAAGAGTAATAAACTTCAAGCAAATGAAAATGAAAATGGGGAAGCCGCTCAGGATCCACAGATGGCTCTTAAGTTGAGCTTTAATCTCCCTACGTCATCTTATGCTACGATGGCAATTAGAGAATTGCTGAAAACATCAACTTCTGTGAGATCATCTCTTCTGTCCACTTTTCATCATCAGCTAATTATAATTTTGTTCTGTTCTAACTTTGGATTGAAGTATAGGTTTTTCTTCTGCAAATCTTTACCGTAGAATTTATGCAATCTAGGTATTCTCGTGTGGGGTTGTTCATGGCTTTATAGTTCATTTGTTATCTCAGGTTGCTTTCCACAAAGCTTTAAACGAGTGATCACTTCGCCATACATGAAGACTGATGGGAATCCAGAGAAGTTCAATGGGAACCAAAAGGTAAAACTTCTAACTGAGTTGGAAAATATGAAGAAAACAGACTCATACTTTTGTACGTTACAAATGTCGCGTGTTGATTGTTTGAAGAATTATGTCGTAGAAAAATAGGTGAGTAAAAAAGTGCATATGAACAGAATCAACCAATAAATCACCCGAAGTTTAACTAACAATTACCAAAATCATGTCAAAGAAATGTCCAAACCTAACCAATAAAGGCAGATGAAAAATGCTTGAACTTAAGATTGAATACAATGCCCAAATCCTACTAATAACAAACACTCGGCATAATTCCAAGATCAAACATAATTTAAAGAAAATCCATTAGAACGAGGTCCTTGATTCTCAGAAAGCCTAAAGTTAGTAAATGATATTCATACTATAATTCGTTGGGTTCAGATTTTGGACTTCTGAGTACTATAACTGATAAGATAGTAGAGGTCGTGTACACCCCAAGGTGTTCTATGGATGGAAAACAGAAATATGAACATTAGGATCCCCAAAATTAAAAAAAATGAATGAATGTAGGTTATGGGACTTTTCTATTGAACATGATTTAAAGAACCAATACCTGCAGTTCTCTTAAAAAATCGTGTAGCGGTCGAATCAAAGAAATTAAAGGGTTAAAATTAACTCGCCTACGAGTTAAAAGATGAGTTCTACTCGTTCAGAAATTACAAAGCACCAATTGATCTTCTCACTTCCGTTCGTTTGTGAAGTCATGTCAATCAGCCTCTTTCCCATTTCAAAATTTTGAGTACAACTTTCAAACTCGCTCTTGCCTTATGATGTGATCTGACCAAAAACGTTGTACATTACATGTAGAAACATTATAAATGAACCAAGATTTGCGGATGCAAGTCTTATGCCCACATGATGACTCAACTGTACTTGCATTCAAATACATTGCCTTTATTACTGCCTATATCTGATGGCTATTTCCTTACCAACTTTAACATTTGCTATTATAATTCAATAATGCTTAGAGTTACATTTTAAACTGATCTCCTATAAACTTGCCCGTTTAGCTGTTTGCAGAGAGGCAACCTGATGGCAAGTGCACTCTGTAGAAAGAAATCAGAAGTTCTTGATCTGCACATCGGTTTCCACTTGTTCCATTTGAGGGAGGTATGGCCATATCTAAAGATATGACTTTCGTTTCGACATTCACTTGGAAACGTTGTGGAATGTCCAAGGACATGAATTGAATTAAATTAAAAAGAGCATGCAACGAATGATGATACTGATGTTTTCCCCCATGGGCGTTGTATTCAGGCAATTTTAAAGTGAATGAAAGGTCCCTTTATGCTCATTTCATGTCATACTTAGCGCAACATTATATATGCATTATTGTTTTAGAGCCCCTACACGTCTTTTGCAGATGTAAATGCCATATTTGCAATTCTATTTTTGCAGGGGTTTGGTAAATCCATTCTTGCTAAGATTTTTGCATAGAAAATTTGATATTGTACACTATTGAGCATAGACTCTCGTGACTTTTGGTTTTCCTAAAATAGAGTGTCATTGTGGTCCATATGGGATTTGGTGACACGAACAAACAACATAAGTCAAACAAGACGGCCATACCCTATAATTGCACTTGTTGAAATTACAGGCATTAACACGAAACACACGAAACATTTCCTATCAACTTCTCCCTACCCAATAATTATATGCAGTAAACTGTTGTTGCCTTTTGCTTACATTCTCATATAACACTAATTTCAATTTCTCAGATCTTACCATCAAAACTCTCTTTCAAAATCTCTCTGCTCTCGTTTTCTAAAATTTTCTTCTTAGACCGGGGCCAGAGGTTCGAGCATACGTCGCTTGGCCATAGGAAAGAACAAATAGGCTTAACTTGTTGGGAAGTGAATGCCGCACAATCGCAAGTCCATCAAAGTGTCAGTGCGATTGTGACAAGTGGTACCAAATACATCATAAGTTGAAGGCTGCTAAAAGAAATAGAAGTGTAGACCCTAATCAAATGTATCCGGCTCGGTGTAATGCAGTCTAAATTAACAATATGCTTTTGACAACAATTGGGCATATGCAGTCAAGTGAGCACAACATTTGACAAGGGTAAAGAAAATGCCTTAATGCCTGTCATTTGAACCTTCTATAGTTGCCAAAGGTAAAGAAAAATCACCAGCTTTATTGATTGTTTGAGATGAACTATCCAAAAAATGGCACCAAACCCTGCTCCTATACTTTCCACTAAGTACAAATTATGCAGAAATCCTGTCATCTAAGCACACCCCTTTCTCCAATTCTGTAGTTACATCATCTCCCTCAAACCAAGGACTCTATAAGGGTTCAGAATCAATTACAAACAGGAAGAACACAATTCAACACAAATTACAATATGAGAAGATCGAGCATTAGTAACCTAATACTGATATTGTTCATCAATCCATGAATAAACTAAACTAACTGTGTATCAACATCGTGAAATAAAAATCAAAGGAACCCACCAAATGCTTTACCGTCCTCCAAAGAAATCCCCCCACAGATTTGTTTGTGCCTATATTGGCACATATCTCTTCGCTGCCTGCTTGCCCGCCACCGCAGCTGCAGCAGCAATCCCTCCAATAGCACCAGCGATGGCGGCCGACCTCGGCCCTGAAGCCGCCTTATAAATTGCACCAGTCCCCAATCCAGCAACAATACTGTTCAAAACATCATCAGAGCCTCTCAAATGAATAACCCCACTTTCCAAACCAGCAAAAATCAAGCCAAGAATCCCAAGAGAGTTCCCAGCCCTGCGGCCGACTTGACCCCCAGAGTTCAAAACTCGATTAAGACGAAGCTTCATGGTGTCGCCAGGCTCCGCCGCCCTAATGCCCTGGAGAGATCCCCTGGCGCCGCCAAAAATGGCACCGGACAAGTAGCCGATTCCGGTGTAGTACTGGAGATTTTCGCCCCAAGAACGGTGGGGCCTAGCCGCCTCTTCGAAGAAAAGATGTTCTGGGGCGGTAGGGAGCTCGTAAAGCTTGGTGATCGGGACGTGAAGGTCTTGGTAGGGGTGGTAGAAACGGGTCTTCCGATCACCGGCTGATTGCGGGGAATCTTCCATTGGAGGAGGAGAAAAGGGGTTCAAATCAAAGGCTGTAGAGAGAGAATCAGAGAAGAAGGGTTTGGGAACTGCGGTTTCTTCAAAATGTTGCAAGGGTTTATAGGGTTTAACGTGTGGAACCCATTTTTGTAAACGAAAAAACCAATAAAATAACGAGGACTACTGCTCCGTCAAGAAAAGGGGAAAGTCTTGAACTTACCTATCTCGATAAGACCTCGTAAAGAAACGAGAGCTAATAGTTTGATAAAATTTCAATGATCGAAGATGACCCGTGTTCACGTAGTGCGCATGTAGATTAGGAAAGCCAAATCCCAAGAGAGGTCGGTGTCTTTCTTTTACGACCTAAATTCCTATTTCTCGGCCATGAAGAACCACTGATCGGTCAAGAAGAGGAGAAAGGATTGGGTCTACCTATCTCGATAGAACCTCATAACGAAACGAGAGCTAATAGTTTGATGAAACTTCAATGATCTAAAATGGCACGTGGGTTCGACTTTCAAACATAGCAGAATTGCACGTAGAATCCTAAACAGGTGATTTATATCTCGTGAAACAATACAAAACTAATCTCTATTTATCGATTATCAAAATTTTAAGAGACTCAATATCTATTTAAGAATTAATAATATATTTTTAATTTTTATTATTTACTAATTGGACTCGTCTTGTTGGGCTTCCAAAATTCAATGGATGAGCCCACAGTTGGCCCATTTATCCATTTGGATTTCAAAGCTCCAAATTCTGAAAACATTTTTATCTCACGTGATGGCATCAAACTCACGTGTGAATAATTGAAGTTAGGACAAAGTACCATTCTGGCAAACCTAATATTATATTTAACTTCTTAATATATTTTATATATTTTTATATATCTCGGGTCGAAGGATTTTATCCCACGAATCCAAAATTGGTTCAGGTTCAGAAAAGTGAACCCAACCCAATCCAAAAGGCTAATCCAACCCAACTCAACCTATAATTCAGATTGGGTTGATCCTAGTTGTCAGGTTGAATGTACACTCCTAATCTTTATGGAATGGATCAAACCATAATAGACAAAATTATAATTTTGAAATTGAAAGATTAAAATTTAACTTTTTTCCGACTAATTTGAACTATTTTTTTTTTATAAAAAAATATAGAAAACTAACCAAAAAAGAAAATATTAAAATAAAAAAAAACAAAAAAAAAATGTAGTAAGTGGGGCCCAAAAGATGCCTTTTGAGTTGTCGTCTTGTGTGAGGGCCTAATCCGTACAAACATTTGTACATTTTCCAACTCTTAATTGTTTATTATATAATCTGTTTTAAATTATAATTTTAGTCATTAAAACGATATTAAATTCAAATTTATATATTTTTAAAAGTTTTGAAAATGCATCAAAACTTAAATTCTTAAATTCTATTGGTATTAACGTTCACGTGGTCATAGTCTCAATATTGTGTCGAAGTAGTAATTAAATTAGTACGTCATTGTTCCCATCAAAATTTTAAAACGCGTCTGCTAAAGAGAAACAAGACCAAATTTACGATCTTTTCATATCTAACATCGAATTTAATTAGTAGAGGTAGCCGGTCTTGCTTAGAAAAAAAAAAGTATATTATGAAGTATATAATCAACTTAAGCATAGTTCAACTGTCTATATATATCCAAAATTTGAACCTTTATCCTTACGATAAAAAAAATATAATAAAAAAAATACTAAAGTGAGTCTAGGCCCAATAATAATAGTAATATTATTAATATTAACATATCATCGAATGAATATGTAATGATAATTTTCGGAGTATCAAATTTAAAGGTCGTATGTGTGCTTAGCGAGGGGTCGGAGAAGGGCGTGCTAGCTTGGATGGATATACATATTTAATTTTTTGTTATGACCGGTCTCTTTCATGTTCTTACAACTCATTGCTGGTTGTTGAGCCTCTTTAATCATCTTCTTCTCTCTCTTCTCCTCGCCTCTTTCTCTGTCTTTTCTAATTCGTCGGTATCCTACTTATCTTTTTAAATATACTTGAGTGCTCGTGTTCTAATTTTCAACGTTTGATAATCATTTATTTTTTAACAATCAAGCTTATAAATTATGTTGCCAACTCATACAAATAATTTTTCGGTGACAGTTTCACGATTAAAACCCATCTACTATGGAAAAGGGTTTCCACACCCTTATAAGGAATGTTTCATTCTTCTCCCCCGACCAATGTGAGATCTCACAACAAAATGAACCAAAACTAAACATCAACCCTTTCCGTCACGCCCACATCACACCCATATCTTTACCTAAAAATATTTGTAAGCGGGTATAGAAACTCCTTCGATTTAGGGTTAGATCATATACATAGTAAGCTATCACAAATCAAATGACCAATTTTCTTTTGAAAATGGGTCACTTATTCGTGATCTCTCTTGGATTAGAGTCGCTTAGCTTGACCCTAATATATACATGAAGACCCGATCGTCCAAGTCGTACATCTATGATTATTTCCAAAAAATCATGGAAAAGAAAACTTCGATCTCCTTCCAAAACAAGGAAACAAAATATGAGCCCACCTCATACGGTGACCTTGATCACTCTTACCAGTGACTTTAATGGCTAATTACTAGAGCTCTCAATATGTTATTACCGGAAAATCATTTTTTACCACGTCAATCAATTCTTGTAAACGATATGTCACATCACTATTCCAAAGCATGTTTCAATGATATATAGTCACATGCATACATATCTAATAATTTTATAAAAATAAAAAACGACAGCTATCCGATAGTAAATATCTCCCTTTAGCTTCGGATCGACTTATTTAAATTATCTAATCTAAAATACACAAATATTATTATTCAAACTATAAAAAATAAAAAATAAAAAAAAAAGAAAATTTGAGTGCCGTTGAAAAAGGAGAGAAATGGAGGGCCAGGATTGGAGGGTGTAGAGAAGTTAAAATAGGCTGTGAAGCATGTGAATATAGCCAGGTTTGTTTTGAGACATAAATAAATGGCCCCAATCTCTGCATGTGTTCACGTGTCTGTGTCATCCAGTTGCCGTTAATTACAACGTCATGCCCTCTCCTCTGCCCTTCGCATTGGCTTTCATGGGCCCACCCCCCTCTCCGATACTATAAATATTTTTTACAAAAATAAAATAAAAACAATATCCATCTTCTTCCCTCCCCACTTGCACTTGGTTGCGCGTGTACTTCACTTTCTTCCTACCCTATCATCCCGTCTTTCCGATTATTGGCTAATGTTGATTCGGTGATAGTTCAATTAGTTAAGATATTATATTATTAACCAAATCATTAATAGTTCTTGTAAAATTCCAGATCGATCAGAGAAAGAAACAAAACATTTTTTTTTTAAGACTGTGGACGATCAATTTATGTCGAGAGTGTGACCTGAAGATATGATGGTAAAGAAATGCTTAAATGACTCAATCATAAACACTCCCGGTAGAAATAGTCAAGTAGATAAGGTGACCATATTATCGAGCTAATTAACTATAGTGACATTCCTAGCTTATACAGTGGTTCAAATATATCATCGATGAAAAGGTCTAGTCCCTCTAAACCACACGAAAGGATCGAACACTCCAAGACAGACGACGTGAGAATCTAACCAATGGTTGTTTTCCACTTGAAAGTAAAAAAAAAAATATACATAATAATTTCAAGTAAATGGGCCACATAAAGGGTACAATTAAAAGAAATATGCATTAAATGTGAGAGATTCAAAATTTTTAATTTTTTTTTTTTTAAATGATGTTACCTAGGAAAAATTTATGGTGCAATGGTAATAAAGGGATCAAAATTGGTAGGACCAAATTCATATACAATATTTGTATGTATTAGCTGTTGAACGGGGATCTTTTTGTACTAAAATCGGTAGGCTCGTTACTTATTGTCGTCAGCCTCACAGTTTTAAAACGTGTTTATTAGGAAAAGGTTTTCATACCCTTATGAGAAATGCTTCGTTTATCTCTCCAATCGATCTGAGATCTCACAATCCACCCCCTTTGGAGGCTAGCGTTCTTACTGGCAAATCACTCGGTGTCTGGCTTTAATACCATTTGTAACAGCTCAAACCAATATTAATAGATATTGTTCGCTTTGACCCATTATGTATTATTGTCAGCCTCACGGTTTTAAAACATGCTCTTATAAGAAATGTTTCGTTCTCCTCTCCAACCTACATAGGATCTCACAATCCACCCTCCTTGAGAGCCCAACATCCTCGCTGGCACACCCTTCCAATGTCTGGCTCTGATACCATTTATAATAGTTCAAGCCACCGCTGGCAAATATTGTCCACTTCACCCTTATAAAAAATGTTTTGTTCCCCTCTCCAATCGATGTGGGATCTCACATAAGAGAATATCTAAGTAATCAAGGGTCGAATCCTAATCCTAATCCAATAACATGGCCTCGACATCAGTGGTACATACAAAAATCTCAACCGTTTTTCTCATGAGTTCAAGGCTAAAGAAAGCCACGTAGAAATTCGAATTTCCGACCTTTGTTTATAGGTAAAGATTTAAACTTTTAATCTCTCGATCGAGAGTATACCTAAACGGAATACTCTCACTATGCTATGTGTTTTGTTTGGAAGGTGAGTTTCAATTTCTTAGAGAAGGGTGTGGTGGGCTCTATCCTTTTGTCTTCCACAACAAGACGAAATCTTTCATAAAGAAGATTGAGATCTAGAGAGAGAAGAAGCAAAAAACAAGTTATAATAGAGAAATTGAGAGATGGGTTTTGTATAGGGCTGCGTGTTTTGTTGTATTATTTCAAGCATTTCCCCAATTTTACACTAAAGGAGAGAGAGAAGAACGAAGAACGAAGAACGAACAACCATCGACAATGTTCGAAGGATCAGTGTCCGAGCAGCTTCATCAATTCTTAGCTCCAAGAACAACAACGACGACTACAACAACAACAACGCCACCAAATTCTAATTCTCTTCCGTTTCTTCTTCATTCTCCAAATTTCAACTTCCACCCATTTGATTCTTACAATCCATCTTCTAATCATCATCTCGTTCATCAATCTTCCGAGAACGATAACGAGACGACAACGACGACAACAACGACGATGGCGAATTTGTCGGTGGCTATGGATTTGGAGGATCATAATCATCATAATCATCATAATCAATGGAGCAATGATGAGCTTCTTGCCCTCCTCAGAATCAGATCCAACATTGACAATTGCTTCCCTGAATCCACTTGGGAACATGT